GGGGTGAGAGTAAAATCATGACACACAATTCCACCTCACAGATTTTTTCTTGTTTTGATACTCATTCTTATTTTGACTCAATCTTCATGATTTTCATTAAAATTCCTGCATGCAATACATGGCATATTAATTTGTATAATAATATGCAAATTACTTGAAATGAAATTTTGGATTTGTTTTTCTAGCTGTTGAAAGGTAAATAGCATGATATTACAAGTAATTCTAGCTCAGTATTATAAATCTCTACAAATTAAAAAAAAAAATTGCAACAAATGTAGCTCCAACTAACAAATCACATTTTGGTGTACAGTTCCATTTTCCAATCACATTCAGAAATCAACCATTCACAGAGAAGGATAACAGCATGCACCGCCCCTCCCCTTTGCAACCTTTTCCTGGGAAAACTCTTGGTCTGTTAGATGCGGTGATAAAGCTCAATAGTAAAGGTCAAGTAGTCATTGTGGCCACATACCACAAATTCCAATTTTGAGAAGACTAATTGGCCAAACTCAGGACTGATAGACAAATGGATTAACTTCTTTGTTTTGCACCTACTGTAGAGAATAGCAGGTGGTAATACTACAGCTTTTACCTTTTATGACCGGTACGCCGTCTCTGTCGGCAATCACAATTGCATGAAGCCCGGACACCCTGTTAATATAAATATTTCTAGTTACTGTTTTGGAACAAAAACAAATCCCAAAGGAATGGCTGTAAAGACCAAAACAAGCATAATTTGGAGGCCAGAGAGAAAGGATAAGATTGCTTTGAAGCGACAAACATTTACATCAATGTCACAATCAAGGGGGTCCATCTTTGTGTGTGTGTGTGTGTGTGTGGTCTCTTATGTAGTGGTCATTGGCGGTGAATTCTAAAAATTTTATAAAGTGCGATGACCAAACTAATTAGAAGTTAGTCATGAAAGTCTTTTCAAAAATAAAATTCTAAAATTATAAATATATAAAATGCATGATTTAATACATAAATTAATACTCAAAAATTAAAAGTCAAAAAGTTTGACTAGAAATAGAATAGTGTCATGGAATTGCAGCATACTCGACTAGAGTTTAAATATATATTACATATATATTACAATCAAAACATAAAGATATTATTATAGCAGTCTATATGTACTTGAGTAACTGTAAACAAAAAGAATTGTCAATCACACTTATTTTACTTTTCACTTACTTACTTTTTAGTAATTTATAGCATTTTGAGCACCAAATTAAAAATGTAAAATTTTCTACACAGTTGTAATAAAGCTGTTATCTATCTATCTATCCGAAAAAGTCATCCATGAGACTTTGTTATAATAAAGAACATAAAGTAAACGCAGAGAAAACTAGAGAATTTAAATTTGCTTGAATTTAAATTTAAACATTATCTCTCCGGAGATTAGCCAATTTTGGAAATAAAGTTTACATTGTGAAGCTAATTGGACTATTCAGTTGTGTGGCATTGGTGAGACTATTAAATCCAGTCACTGGAATTAAGTCACCAAGAAGCTTGACAGATGAACATGCAATGTTGATGGCTAAATATAGATGTGACAACGCCCGGGGTGTATCATCATCCAAAATAGTTGAACTCACAAATCAGGTTATATCTGTATACTCATTTGTACAATAGCTGAAATATTCCAGGAATTCAGTGACCGCACTGACTTATCACCACAGGTACGTTCTTCTATTTGTGTGTGTGTGTGTGTCCATTTTAAGCAGAGGGATGGGGTGTCCGGGGGGGGGGGATTGGTGAAGAGGCAGGTGATATGTAAACACATATGGACATCATTATGTAAGTTCAAAAGGGCAACAAATATTGTTTATATTTGGATCAGTTGTTTGATATCCATCTAAGTATACTCACTTATTCAGCAGTCGACGTAAATATTTGTGAAGTTCCTGTAGATATAAGAAAGGGATTCGTTGAGTTTCCTGTTGATATGTATCACGTATAGTTGAATTTTGGATGACAAAAATTGACTAGATGCTGGCAATTAATCTACCGGATTCATCCTTGTTACCTGGTCACAGCAGCGATTTTGTAATATTTTATTTTATCACGCTGCGCAGTTGCCAACTTTCGAAATTTACCATAAAGGTACAAATACAATGTAGTATTATAGTTCTGTCGAACACTATTAGATAATTTCACTTGCTCATACGTATCTAACATTTTCTATATCGTGTTTTTTTTAGTATGTCGCAACTGTCGGCAATATACACTAAATTAAAAAAAACGCCCTACAGCAAAGCGGGGGTTGTTATGATCCACTATAATTACACCTGTATTAGAGAAATATACCGTAATTTTTGATGACTCAGACTGCCTGCGTCAACAATATTGCAACATCATGAAGTAAATACCACTGGCAAACCGATTAGTTAAACTACCGAGCAATGTAGATTCCGGGTTTAGGCGTTGTCCATATTACAAAGGTCGCTAGTAATAGCCATTTTTAGAAACACACGTGATTCGTGTGTGTCAAAATGAAAATCCCGTCATATCGGCAGCGAACAGAAAGAACGACTGGACTTTGGCCCAGTTACCTGTTCCTCGAAGCGAGGAGAATAGAATAGTTCCATAAATGCATAATCATCAACATAAACGATTATCCTTGATAATAACCATAAGGCTGACACCCAGTTGTAAAATAAGATTTTCATTCGATCTGTAAACGCTCACCTCCGCCATGTTGGAAATGAAATTTGTTTCTCGCCACCAACGGCAATTGTAAAAATTCCGTTCGTTTTTGTTTTAATAGCTTGCATGAGCATTTGATTAGCAACTCAAGCAACAATGCCGAAACAGGCAAAAAAGTTGAATGTAAGCGCACACTGTCATTCTAGCGACATAATAATTAAGAGGCTTATTTCTGGTTAAGAAAAACAAGCAACGTGAATGCCATTGCGCTTTGTATTTACCGCCTCGTTTCGAAAGAAAGGTTCTTTCAAGGACAGAGTGTTTGCGGCGGCGACGCACACCACCCTAACTAAAGATCACAAGGAAACGCCGACGGCCCGTGCTCGTAATGCTTTCTTTATACTTGGGTCTTATTTAAATGAAACGTGTACCACACAGAACGACAAATTCTAATTACAGTTTGCAGTTGTTAAGCATATAATCATTATGAATCCTACCATGGAACTACACAGAGAAACACACTGTACACCCAACAACCGGAACTCACTCCCACTGAGCTGCGTTTTCTGATTTTTTACACAAAAAACACGTTTTCTGTGAATATATACGCGCACTGGCATTTACGTATATGATGTGAATATCCATCTCAATGGACATAACACATGAATAAATATGGTAAGCAGCTGAAGCAAAAAAACGCGTAAAAGGGGTATGATTTAGTTATTTGACGCTATACGCCTGTACCGCGTTTAGAGTTGAATATTTTAAAGCGCGGTAGTCGTCGCGCAACGCGGGTTCGAATTTCATGTAAATAAACAATGTATTGTATACGCGTTGTATACGTCGCTATGAGTCCCATATCGAACAGGGCGCGGCACGACGACCACCGCCCTTTAAAATATATAAATAAAGTGTGAAAGAAGAAATCTCATAAATTCATGTTATCTCAACTTGGAAACGGTTATGATTTTAGTATGTATATTGGGTATAATTTTAAGTTGCTGCACGCACTTGCAAAGGGGTATAATTTCACAAAAATAAGTACGCGTTTAGAGGCTTTTTTGAACGATGTGTGTTAAGACCCAATCACACCGCCCGAACTTTGTTGGACAAAATGGGAAACAAATCGAAAACATGGGCGTTGCCTTAGAGGTGCACCACTGAAGCCGGCGCTGCTTTAACGGTAGCGAGCGTTTGTTTAGCGGTGACGCGAGCGTTGATAGAGCGGTGTCCGCGCATTAAAAGTTGGTTTAGCGGCATGCCGCCCGGGCGTTGCCTTAACGGGGCCAACTTCTGTTAAACGGTGGTGAACGGTCACGAGCGGTGATGGAATTTGTTCACGCTTTTTGAGAACGCTCGAATCGAATGTGGAACGCTTTTACCCGCTCTTCAAAATAAATAGACGGTGTATGGCAATCTCCTTCCCAGAGGCCTTTGCGCTTTACGCAATAGTGCCTCTGCCACAGGCAGCCTTCAATTTTGTGGTCAATCACCTCACTACGCACGGCCATTTTCTTGTACCTGTTAGATCTGAAAACGTACTACAAAAAGTGGGGAAAACGTATGTGACATCCGAACTATTTATTAATGTCAGACCTCAGTAAAAACGCAAATACGAACCATTTTATCGCGGACTATGTTTTGCAAGGTAATGTTACTGTAGTGAAATGGCGCACGTGATACACTAAAACTTGGAAGAAAAAACGTTCTGTTATCGTATATAGTTGGGAAACATTAAAGACTAATTTAACTGAAAAAATTTCCTAACATTTCCGTTCATCTTGTATTCTGGTGAATATATCAATACTATTTCTGGCTTGAACGGGTTCGATTTTGCGCGTCTAACAGCAATAGAACACACAGGTTCTAGTAAGTTTATAAAGTTAGTCATTTATAGTAGAAACTAGTGCTTTGGCATGTAGGAAAGGATTGTAATTTTCTAACGCAAGTCATGTATATTTTGTATAAATAACTGAACATTTTATTTAGAGTCAGGGCGTGAAACCTCTAATAAAGTGATTAAAGTAACCGAGTGACTTACGCATAACTTTGTTAACCGACAGGGTCTTGTAGTTCGAACATATTCGAATATGCAAATGAGTTCTATGCAAAGCTGCTTTGTGCAGTGATGATAAGTAACGCGCATCGAACTGTGCGGAGTTCTGGTGTATGACAGAATGCGCTGTGTCTATTTTACATTCTTTTAGCGGAATTTCTCATTTATAGTTGAACACAGACGCGCACGCAATCGTGAAGCGGAAGCGCGCACAATTCATCGGTGCTGACGCTGTAGTACACTAACATTACATTTACATTATTCCACAAATCTTTCAAAGCAGAATGTGTCACTGATCAAACAATTTTGCCTAACGTCCTTGATTCGAGCTTGGAGATTCGCTGGTTTCCGGTGTTTCCTGCGAATGATTTGGTGCGCCATGACACTTGGAGCGGGAACCAGCTAAGGCTTGAAGAAACCGTTTTTACTCATACACGTGTATCCATAATGCAATGCGCCCTCACCAGAAATCCAGGCCGTCCCGTCCTTTGTGATCCAATTTGCGAGGTCATTTAACGAGACATGGGGAAGTGTCCACCAGACGGCACACCTTAATCTGTATATCGTATTCACAGAAACAGGTGTAATGGTTATATGCGGGGTCAAAGGTCACATACTTGTCCTGCCGTGGGCATGGTTGGCCACTAATCAATGACGTAAGTCACCTAACAACCAAATAGTTGCCACAAAGAATTGCTTGCGTCTGCATTTTGTTACTTGTCGGACTTACACTACTGTAGTCGAACGAGACGCAAAGCTATGTCGTATTTCATTCTATGGTTTACAATAAATACTTAATAATACATAAATATAGTGATGACAATGATGACTGACATATGCCATCCTTGTTAGGTCGATCTTAATATTAAATGCATCAATGATTGAACGATATAACCGGCTATTATAAACTAACAAACAATTTAAAACTAAAAGCAACTGAAAAACGCGAATGAATAGAGATGTGTCCGAACTTCTGGTTTTAATGGACTTTCCCGTATTGTTTAGGTCAACTCATGCGGCCATTTTGAATTTATAATTACACAAAACACACAATTGAGTTTTATAATTAAAAAAATTGTTTGCTAACCACAAGTTTTTCCTTCGAACTTCCAAATAAAAATAGGTGAATCAGAACCAATTTTCCATGGTTATAAATGACTTTTTAATTTGACACATAGTGTTAATATTAAACCCATTTTTATTTTAACATGAGTCAAATGAGCTTTATAATTCCCGATTCCCGAATTGATAGCGTTTGCGCGTTTATCGTTCGTGCGCTTGCGCATTTTGCGTGACCAGGTAAGTGCATTTCTGAATAGCTGATCTTCGAAAGCAACAGTTCACTATGTGTCGTGTGTAGCTACGTGAGTTGTCAGATTGTTAGGCCATTATCGACAACTAGTTTGCTCGCTTTAAATACCAGTTACATTGGTTATGCATGTACACTGTAATTAAAGGTGTGGTGCCATCGAAAATTCAAAACAACATTTCCAGTATTTTGCGCTCTCTAGCGGCAAGACCATTCTGTGACGTACATGTAGATGCGGGGCCAGTAGTTGATCACATCTCCGTCACAGAGTCTATGTTGTTTTCATCTACAGTTTCCCAGATATGGACTAAGCTGAATATCGAACGACTACAAAAAGAAAACAATGTCTCTATGACGACATTGCTTTCTACAACCTATATGAGCAAACAAACAATGTATTTTCCACGCATTGTGTACGTTGCTATGAGTCCCCTACCGAACAGGACGCGGCGCGACGACCACCGCCTTTTATTTTCCCTTCGCTTTATCGATAGAGAGCGCGACCTAGAAAGATATATTATCCTCGGGAAGGGGCTACGACACAAGACGTTCCAGGTTGCTAAGACGCGCACCACTTTACCATGTATTTCTATGGGCCCTGCGTGAGCTGCTGTGGAACGCCGGTAAAAGAGCCGGTGAAAACAAATAAATTCGAGAAAACAACACAAACTCAGCTTTGAAGTAATCCTAAGCAAACAAATGTATATATGTTGTACATGCAGGGGTAATCTTTTCACACTATTCAGGGGAGTTTTCAACAACTATTCCAAAGCACCATGTTTTGACAGTTTTCGGCTTTGTTTTCACCGTGTTGATTGCCAGGCAGTCATGAAAATGCCCGGATGTCCGCCCGAGGAGTCATTGCACGAATGGTTCAGATGATAACAAAATCTTAGTTGTGATATAGAAGGGTGAAAAAATATTTTCTGTGATTGACAGGTTATTGTCGTTTTCTTGATTTGATTATCAAATAACTAATATTCGTAATACTACCAATAATCAAGAGAATCTTCACTATCATATCGTAGAGGGCGCCATGTTGAGTACCAATGCAACTGAGTTACGTTTTACCAAAGACACTAGAAAAATCTTTTTCTAGTGTCTTTGGTTTCACCTGGAAATATACATAAAATACAATAACTGGCCCAAGAAAAGACGAGTAAGGGTGTGGGGTCTTATTGTAGCAGCGTAATATCTGAGGAGTTCAGTGAGTCCGTATCGGGCCATACACTAGCTATCTTGTAAACCGAATACTAATATAATAAAAATTCAGAGGTGGGGTAGATTTGTAAAAGAAATCTGGACAGAGAAATCTTGAAAACACAAATCCACAGGGAAAATTAAACTTCAATAATATCCATGTTTGGTTGAAGGAAGGAAACAGCATCGTCCTATGTGAAAAAAAAACCCCCAAAGCTCGCACAGTTTGTTATACCGTAACCGCTGAGTTTATAATGGTGCGCCCTTACAGTTGAATGGAAAGTTGAGAATTTCACGCCAGTTCACGATTTCATATCCTATTGTAGACTTTACTGTTTAGTGAATAGGATTTTCGTGAAATACGTCAGTAGTCACGTGATAGTATATGACCAATGGCAAATAACCCCCTCAGTAGGCTGAATCATGTAAATGAACTACGGGCAGGACATTCATTTCCCAAGACGAGGCACAGTGCTTGGTCAATGTTCTGGAAATAGACCACGAACTAACTTTGCGTTTCGGTGTTTAATTTCCCATGACCAATTATACACGCCATACTTGATACTATCAAGTGAGATGCCACCGTCTTACAATTCGTAGTTTTTCACTGGAGGGTTCGTCGCGGGTCGATGCCTTTCGACGTTGTTTGATCTACCCATGTTCTCTTCTTTACTTTAGATTCCACGCCCCCTTCGTACATGTCACGTATTTTATAGAACGTACTCAGCTGTGAATCACACGCGGATGGTGGGGGGGGGGGTGGTGCCAGTATAACCCCACTGGACTAAGACTGTAATGGGCTTAATGTTACTTTTCGTTAGCACAAGTAAAAAAACAAACATGTTAAACAAAACAAAAAGACCTCTAAATATTGCTGTTATTACTCAGATCCTTAAAATCAGAAATGCCATGCAAATTCTGTTGGTTATTTATAATTCGAGAAGCCCCCCCCCCCCCCAGAAAAGACCTCGCGGGGGTAATTGTTCAGAACGATGCCGTTTCTCTCTGAATTATAGTAAAGTAAGTAATGCCTTTAATGAAATCATATCCTGTTCAGGATCTGGATTTTTTAAAATACAATAAAGTAAAGATACGTGACTCACAATACTATTTATTTTACCTCAGCAAGGGCCAAAACAAGGGTTTATTCGGGTGATGGTGTCAAAATGTTTCGGTTTTTCTCTGTCAAATTTGTGTTAGTATATTATAGCCATGACTGTTTCTACATAATTTTGTTTTTATGCGCAGATTTATGCAAATAATGAACATTCTGCGATCTTTCACAACCATGTTCTATCTATTTTGAGTTACCAACCTAAATTGATAGCGGAGTGTCTTATGTAGAGCGCCACCTCGTCAAGTTAGAGAAAGCCGACGATAGGTTTTTCTACATCATTAGTACCTCCAACTTTGCTAACACACTAAACTCACGGCGAGCCTTCTCCGATTTCGACTCCAGGGAGATGTGCGCTATGACGTCACGACATGTACCCTGAAATATTGTGGTTGTCTATTTCGTGTTGAGCTGTTGAATCGCGATCGCGAGCTAACAACCAAAGCATCACGCGAACTGGCAGAATTGAAAAACTCGTGAAGGTACCAACCGACGGAGTGTGTCAAGGCGATCTAAAGTCAAGTGACATTACCGCCGTTGCAGACCAGGTCATTACCATTCCCGGTTGCCATCACTGCGTTATGTGCGTTTGCCTGGAAAACTTAGTCAAATAACTCTGTTTCTGCTTACAGTTCAGTAATCTTTTAAGTACTGGGCGGAAACCGTTTTGCTGACAGCTTTGGGAGTTTGTCGACGCCTGATTACAATTTCACAGTGCCCCGGGGTAGTGCCACAACGGTAAGACCATGATTTTTCATTTCTTTAAGTTGCTCATATCTATATGTATCAAATTATTGCACCGGTCTGTCACTCCATGGAACTAGAAGTAACACTCACCAAATTTTGTAATAAGGCAAATATAAAAAAAAAACGTCGATGTATATAAACGAGACAGATGATCTCATACATGCACTGCATAGTCGCATCAGGTCACGAACCGCCCTGTAAACCCTTATTTGAGACCCATATCTACACTTCGCCGTAGGATCGACGTATAAGTTATTATTATTACATATATGATAATAATATTTAGCAAATTACTTTGGTTTGGATATATGAATATGTCTTTGATATTTATTTATTTCAAATTTAGCTTGCTTATGTGTCTTTCAAATTAGGAATAATTTAGAATTACAATAGTAAAAAAAACTTAAAACAGACATGACTGGAGCAAGTATCATCTTATCGGCGAAGAACCGGCTTACGTCATCAATTAATATACTCGTAATATTTGCATACAAGTTTATAAAAAGAAAGAAAAAACGACGATGACAGCAACTGGTCGCCTCCATGCATTATAATCTGTTGTAACGCACTCAGTGTATGCATCGTGGGATACGACGTTTTCTCACCGCCGTCTGCGTCCCGAACACAGCTTAACCAGCAGTTCCCGATCACCGCCTGTACTTCGGTACTTCGGGCGAAATCAATTATCCAAGTTCTTCGCGTGTTTCAACGTCCTGTAAATGAAAACACGTGAGTACTAGGAGTTCTTGGGCGGTCAACTGGGACTGTGCTGGCGTATCGAGTTAGTTGTGTTTATTAGTGTGGTACGCATACACGTACAAATTACATAGTGTTGGTGACCCAAATTATTTTTCTTGTCAGTGTATTTTAGAGTTTCCTTATAGTACAAGTTCAGTGCACTTTCATTCAAGCCAACGACTCTCTCTCTCTGTCTCTACATAGTAGGCCCCTGGCTTCCACAACGGGCGACGTGTGCGCGTATTACACGCGTGCTAATATATCACTGCTTAGCACATTCTGAGCTCCATTTCAAATGTCAAATAAAAAAAAGATGACCCTCCTCCAGTTATCGCTGTCTCAGTCATTTTCCGCACATTTTGCAAGTCATTACGTCTCCAGTTACGAGGAGGCAGCGCGTTATCTCTTAATTTATCATAAAGTTTAGAAACTTTCGATTTCATAACTTTTATTTTCAAAATAAAGCCCGCATTTGTGAGGTTGGATTTTATATAATTAATCTGACGTAGATTGGTCGTAAGATAGAATCAGACTACATGGATGGTGTGATTGATCTATGTTCTGTCATAAAAAAAATCTTGCGGGGTCGTCAAATACCAGAAATTACTGATCACCCATATAGAAGTGAATTAAAATCAGCGTCGATCGTCGTAGTCATGGAAACCATTGGTTCAAATTATCTGTTAATGATTTTCAGAATACTCTCCACCAATTAGTGCGTATGGGTGTCTTTGAAGTTCCAAAAAAGTAAAGTTTACCGTAATCGGCACACAGTGTGTCGTCCAGTGCCGCGGCCACCATACGCTGCGTTGGCCGAACACATCGCTACGACTTCTCATATAGATAGCAACGTGTGCGGCGGAAGGCATTTTCATGCGTTTAGAGACATGCATTTTGAATTCAAATGTTCTGTATTCTCCGGTACCTTGATATTGCTCGTGTGGCCCAGCCGCAACTCCAACTTCAATCAATGTTCCGAAGTTATAAAAGGAATCCGACTCCCTGTGTCGAGCAGTTAAAATAGATCATATGATCCTCGGGAAACTTTCTACTCGACCGTATAGATTTATATTGTCACACCATGTCACGCCTAGAGGACTAGAATCTACATAGTGATGTAGACCCCCGGAGGAAGATTCATTCTCAACTGTACGGAGGTCAGTGCAACATTTGTAGTATCTGATTTATTCATGTCGAAAGTACTCCAGTTGAAGGTGTCTTGCGTAAATGTAACTGTTTTACGTTTTTTCTCTCATAACCATGTCTCACTTTTAGTGACAAACAAGTGACCTTGAAATGACCGTTTAAATGTCAATTGACAATATCCCCCTTGCCTTGTACATTGCACATTCTACCCTTTTTTCGACAAAGGAGTGTGAAACAAAAACTTTCAGAAATCTTGGAAATGTATATATATATATATATATATATATATTTATATATATTTATACTGGAAGAGCTTAAACTGGGTCAACTGTCAAGAAACTGTGTCTTCACAGTACTAGTAGTTAACTTGAACGAATTGGTGAGCAACTTGAAGGCTGTCCCCATGCTTCTGAGACTTGTTGTAAGGAAAGTAAAACCATCGAGAATTCGGTCGGAGGAAACGGAGTTTGTTAGTATTAAACATCAAATAAGAAAGTAGGAGTCAAAAAAATAAATAAAATGAGTAAGGATAATACAGAAGCAAGTATGAACTTAGTGTAAAAGGCATCGTTCTATTGGTCGAGCTTTCTCGAAGGCGGCGTTATTGAACAGTTGGGTCAAAGCTGATACGCCGCTTTCATGACAGTCTTTTATAAACAAGCACACACAAAACGTGGGAAAATACCCAGGATAGGTGAAAAGTTTACCGAGACACAATTTCCGTGAGTTGTTTGCATTGTGTAGCAGTGAACGCTGCTTTGGCAAGTTTAACAGGCTGTAGGTGTTGTTATATATGATTATACTAGTAACAAAGACGTAAACTTCATATGTAGAGACCATTTATTTGTGCATGGCCAGACTCAATGCTTACCATTATATGTCTATTAGTCAAACTGTTGCATTCAACTTTTACTCCGAAGTTTAACTAACCGGGGAATTTCACTAATTTGGGGCTGGCAGGCGTTGAAAGTTGGCTATCGGTATTTCGTTCTTTGCTGTGCGGGTAATCAAGTGAATAGAAGGAATGCACAGTCCTTTGTAAATGCAACCATTCCGATTGTAATAGTAAGTGTATGGGTTTCCGAAACGATACTATAGTTCACGTAGGAATGCCGTGTATGACCCCCGGACCTGTCTTGTGACGCCGATGAGCGCGTTGCTACGGCAACGTTTGGAAATCAACCAGAGCGTGTTCCATTTTTGAGCGACGCAACTGCAGGAACGCGTCAGTGTCCAGTGATTGGTAAAGCAGAAGTAAACTTCCCATGAAGCCGGGACTGGCCGTGGATTAAAAAGGCAACGGTACAAAACCTCGCTCCTCCAAATGAACGCAGACTGGAATGCCGAGCGTTCATTCGTGTGACCTGACGAAATTCCACAGCCTCGATATGAAGTGGTTAGAATGAGCATGAAGGACCTGTTGGACGATTTTGTTTCTTTAACGTGCCGACACCGCCGCGTATCAGAGCACCGAGCTTTCAAAATTGTAGAGGAACGGTTCACACACAAAGAATAACGAATAAATCAAATTTGTTGACTTAAAGAAAACTGTTAAGGCGAGGACAATAAAACGTACAGCGGATTTCACGCTATGCGCACATAGAAGAAAGCTAGAGAACACAACATCGCCGAGAAAGTTAACGGTGAAATATGCATTGTTCGGGCCACACTTTGATACCGACAAACACGCCGAAATCTGCGAAAACATGATCACTGTATATTAACAATCGCTTTGTTTCTTCCACATTCAATAAATGTACCCCAAAATAATATGATTGTATCGCCGGATTTGCCATAGCAGTCGGTTTGTAGGAGAGAGACTTGCACATGTTTAAAGAAGGGCATGCTTCCGGCGACGTTCGAGTACATACATATACAACTGTGTCGAGTTTCATTAACTGAGTTGCCACTTTATTTACTTTGCTGGCAACTGGCGAGTTTGACAAGTCCCAACACTCTGCCATGTGAACCGAAGAGGAGTGTTTACGAACTGTTTCCAGTAAACCGCCACACGTAAACACCATGCGTCGTTGTTGTCACGATTTTCATCTCGGACGGGACAGAGAGCGATTTGTTGCGTTCTAGGATCGACAAAGATACGTTGGCAAACGGACACATTACACTGGTAAGAACAGAATGTACAATACTTTTACAAAGAAAAGTAATCAAACCGCGTCGTAACACTGCCGTATCGATATTGATTTTGTTAGTGTTCTAGCTAAGAAGTACTTAGCATTGTCACAGTTAATTGCTTAAATCTATCCAATAGCCTGAGGTGTCACGATATCAAGCACTCTCTCATTTCCACCGTAATGTGTTCGGTATTGAAAATTAACTTTACAAACGCCACGATAACTTCACTAACATATGTGCACTAACGCCAATGATTAATTCATTTCCAAACAACAATTATCACGAATGAGTCAATACGGTGTGTTGTAACGGTTTACGCCACTTCACGCCAGTAAAAATAAGTGTTTACCAAACTTCCGCGGGATGTGTTTATAACGGATCGCCGGTCTTCAATTTCTGGTTCGTTGTACCACCTCACACTTTATGTAATGAGAACGACCATCAAGGATGTTGATGCATTAAAAACGTGTGGTGATTTCCCGGGATGGTTATAGTATTTGTATTCTCATCTGATGGCGATCATGCAGATGTCACGAACTTAAAAGTCTCGCTTTGTGTGGCGAACCACGCAGAGAGGCTAATTTCTCCACCAGGACTGCGCTATCAAACTGTTGCCATGGTCACCAAATACACAGTATCATGGCAGCCGATTCAGTGACACGACTAACAGATAACTTAGCTGCACCAGTTACATGGTCCTTAATGCCAAGTTTTTTGACCTGAAACTGGTCGCAAGTCGGAGTCAAAAATCAAAAGTTACAGAAAAAAAATAATCAGTAGAAAAACAAATTCACACAAAAATACAGCAATATCATCATGAAATCATTCTAACTGTTCAAAAACGATGTACATAAAATGCGTTACATCTAAACAACGCGAATGCGACGCAGTTTGTTGCTGTGGACGTTGTATTAAGTTAACCGCAGTAGATGGTGTATATTACACTACGCCGTGACTAAATGCGACTCTGCTCG